TCAACCATTGTGACCGGTTAAGTTCGTGCCTGAAAGTCCTGCTTCAACAAGAAGAGCCTGCCACCCATCAATGCTGCATGAGTCCCGGTTGTAAGACATCTCACCGATCTCTAAAGAACATTACCGCAAGGCTGGACAAGGGGGGTTGTGGCTGGGAGGGCCTGGGCATTGGCGGCCTCTGAAGAGGTAGCGCTACACAACCATAACAGAGCCTGCACATTATGATCGCATGTCATAACAATCGTTAAGCAAAATGGCCTCGCTTAATGACCGCACTCCCTGGTGTTCCTGATACAATTGTTAAATGAACACGAGGATTGTTAAGGGGAGCACAGGATGCCTACTCAAGTTTGGCATGAGTTTGCTGTGAGTCTGTAAGAAAAGTTAATCCTGCACCAGCTTGCAAGCTCTGGCTGACCTGATCTCTCCTTGTTTGCTGGAAGTGAGCGCTACAGCATCGCTGAGGTAGGTCATAATGGCGAATGACTGTGAGGGTGTTGCAGCCACTGTAACTTTGAAACTAGTTCGTAAGTAGTTTTTGGGGAGCCTGTGGTTAACTTCAAACAGTAGCTAAGAGGCCAGTTGTAAGTCAAGGATTACCTGTATGACATGGGTGTCAAACTGCCGGCCCGTGGGCCGGACGCATCATCCAGAAGCCGTGCCCACCCCATTGCCGGCAATGGCAAAACCGTCCCGATACGTTGTGCGATGTCACGTGACAACGTAAGTTTGACAAGTCTGCTGTATGATTAAGTAAGCAATGGTCTTGATACAATTCATACGTCCAGCTAGAGATTCAGTGGGACTTTCTTCTAGGATACAGATTGTAAGATTTCAACCAAGGGGTGATAACTGCTATTGAAGACAATTTATTTTGAAATAGATATGAACTACATCATTTTATATTTTGGAGTTCAGTAAAATGAAGGTTTAAAGACTTTGTGCTGTTCATTTCATCAGATACATTCTTGGTATTAGTTCAACAAGGTTTTATTACTTTGCACACACTCAGTTAACAGATTAATAGAAGTATGCATCTGAAATTTATTTTTATGGTTATAGAGAGTTTTCCACTTTTCCAGGCTGATCCAATAACTGTTTCTCGAAAGCTCAAATTATGAACTGTAACATGTCAAGCTAATTTTGGCACACCCAAGGCTTACTGCTATTAAAGCTATGCTGAGAATGTTTGTGATTGATATCCCCACCTTCGAAAATCAGGATTAATAATGCTGTCCGATTTGAAAGCCTCTTCAATGTAAGTGCCAAAACGGCATGGAAAAGGTAGGACAGTATCAAGATCATAGATAAAGTTCTGGTCTCCGTTCGACACGTGTAACAAAATAACATGGTAATCCTGAAAAGAAAATATATTTAGATGGAGAATGAGAACCTGTAATGATTACAGAGGAGAAACTGGAAAAAGGGTAAAACTCTATATGTAAAACCTAATTCAACTATACATATATTATATAATTACTTTATTCATTTTTAGTTATTAGGTTTCTTCTTAGCCCTGGTATATGGGAATGCTAGCCAGTTGAATCATAGAATGGATCATTCTAAATAGTTTAGCACGCATTATTTGAGCTTTTTCTCAATGTCCTGGTGCAAAGCAATCCTGGATCTAAGTTAGCTTAGATCCAGGGTTGCTTTGCACCAGGACATTGAGAAAAAGCCAAAGTCAAATATAGCTAAAATATGTATTTATTTATTATTTAAATTTATATACCGCCCTATCTTCCTTACGGGACTCAGGGCGGTGAACAGGCAATAATAAAAATCACAGTAAATATTACATAAAAGCCTGCTCTAAAATATAAAACCCCTAACAAAACCCAATCAAAACTATGCCAGGCCGGCCGCATGGAACAGATGAGTTTTCAGGGCTCGGCGGAAGAGGCGCAGGTCTGCAATTGTACGTAGGTCGGGGGGCAGGTCATTCCAGAGGTCGGGGGACAGGTCACATGCAGTCCCTGGGTCATGTGATCACCTTTTGTGACCTTCTGACAAGCAAAGTCAATGGGGAAGCCAGATTCACTTAGCAACTGTGTTACTACCTTAACAGCTGCCGAGATTCACTTAACAACTGTGGCAAGAAAGGTTGTAAAATGGGACAAAATTCACTGAACATATGTTTCGCTTAGCAAAATAAATCTAAGGCTCAATTGTGGTCTTAAGTCAAGGACTACCTGTAGTCCTCAACTTACGACTATAACTTGGACCAGAATTTCTATTGCTAAGCAAGGCTTGCAAGGCTGCATGTGACCATTTGCACAGGAAAACAAGTAAACCAAAAATGTCTGTTTCATTCAAATCAGTAAACTACAGTTAATCATTTTAGAATTAACCAAGAATATATCAATATCAAAACAAAGTTTCGCAGCCTTTTTAGTTTCAAAACCCTGTGATTTTCTAATCAAATAAACTAGGAAACACATTCCTAGTTTAATATATGCAGCTGGCTTATGGAATAAACTCCTATTTTAAAAACTCATTCATAACTCAGCACATTAAACTGCAATCTGATCACCCAAATAGAACTAGCTGAAAATGATGGGACTTCAAATTCAATTCATCCAGAAAACATTGTTGTTTGCCAGTTGTATCTCCTGCCTTTCGTTTAGGACTTCAAGGTAGCATGCACAGTGCTCCTTCCTTCCCATTTTTTTCCCCAAACAACAACCTTGTGATGTAGGTTGGCTGAGCCAGAGTGATTGGCCCAAAGTCATCCAGGGTACTTCTATGGTTGAGTATAGACTAGACCTTGGTATCTCTACTCCTGGTCCACCAACTTAACCACCATAGTGGCTGAGGAAACATTTTAAAATCACATTGGGTAACATTGGACTGAGTGCTTTTCACTGATCTGGTTGCATAAGATACATTTAAAAAAAACAATTACATCATGGGGGTAGTGGGAAACAGTGCAAAGAAAATTTAGATTTGTTCACCCAGATCACAGGCTGCTCTTCACATCCTGCCTGCTGCTTCCAAAGTGGCACCTGCAGGTTACAAAGAACATAAAGTAATTTAACATCTCAAGACTCCCATCAACTAATAGGTAATACATTTTCAACAAATGCCCTGTAAATACCCACGGGTATTTTTGTGGCTGTTAACATCTACTACACAAATTATTTTTCTGGCATCATAAGCTCAGTGGTTTCCTCCCTCCAAAAACAGGACAGTGAAATAAATACCAATCCTTTTCTTGTGTCCAGCACTCATTTCCCTACTGTTCCTTCTACAACTCCTCTCTGCCTGCTTCTATTTTGTAAAATGTGCAAACAGATTGCATTGTTCAAATAACACAGTAAATGTAGGAGTTTGCCTTTCAAAACAGATTCTGCCCGGGCCCTTCCCCAGCCATTTATTCTGCTACACTGGATTATATTTACACAGTCAGTTGGCTAAGTAAATAATGAATGAGGTAGAGTTGCTGGATCTAGCAGCACACAATCACACTAACAGGGTCAGTGGTTTCCACCTGGGGAAACACCAACAGTTCAACACATGGCCTATTGTCACAAAACAGTACTGCTCCAAGCTTTGTCACATCAATGATCCTTTCCTATTGGCTAAGTGAGCAGCAACCTGCAAGATTCGTGTGACTGTTAGTGACTGTTCGAAGTTACAACAGCACTGAAAACAGTGACTTATGACTGTTTTTCACACTTATGACCATTATAGCATCCCTATGGTCACGTGATCAAAATTCTTGGCAACTAATTCACATTTATGACGGTTGCAGTGTCCCTGGGTCATGTGATCACCTTTTGTGACCTTCTGACAAGCAAAGTCAATGGGGAAGCCAGATTCACTTAGCAAATGTGTTACTACCTTAACAGCTGCCGAGATTAAATTAACAACTGTGGCAAGAAAGGTTGTAAAATGGGACAAAACTCACTGAACGTATGTTTCGCTTAGCAAAATAAATTTAAGGCTCAATTGTGGTCTTAAGTCAAGGACTACCTGTAGTCCTCAACTTATGACTATAACTTGGACCAGAATTTCTATTGCTAAGCAAGGCAATTATTTTATTTGTATCCTGTCTTTATTATTTTTAGAAATAACTCAAGGCAGTGAACTATCCAACACATCTTCTTCCTCCTGTTTTCCCACAATAACCCTGTGAGGTGAGTTGGGCTGACAGTGGCTGGCCCAAAGTTACTCATCTGGCTTTCATGGCTAAGGTCTCCTGCTTTCTAACATGGCTCAGGAATTCTGGGAGTTGAAGTCCATTAGTCATAAAAGAGCCAAGGTTGCCTACCCCTGCACTAGACCAATCTGGCTCTCTCAGATAAATTAGTAATGATTAATTTAAATATGTCCTTTAAAAGACAAATCACCCTGCTACTTCTTCTGATCATTTAAGAAGACATAGAAATATAACCAATTACAACTCTTTTTTATAAACTTATAAAGTGATGGAAAAAATATTAGCAACCAAATCTATATATCAACTTACCTAATGATAAGTCCCAATGAGTATTCTATTCATACACATCCAATTATACTAATCATTACTGCAGTGTTAATTTGAACTATGAGTCAGCATGGTTTTTTTTTTAATCAAATACAGATATAACGTCCACATCTCAACTCACCATTTTTCTGTCATTGGAAATGAAAACAGCATAAAATTCTTCTAAAGGGTATTGATTCTTGCTTCGGATATATTCACAGAGCTTCCAGATATTTTCTTCACTATAGAGAAATAAAAACACCAGTTCACACATTTTCAAGATGCCTTCTGCTACTAAAATCTTAATTTTGAATATGCTTCCTGATATTAAACCTTTTCAAGGTTATTCTCCATTCCCACCTTCTATTCAATTCATTTTCTCTTCTCCACTATTGTATAGTTGGATATAAATGACTTTGAACCAGGGTTTAATTCTGCCAGGGTATGTATAAATTTTGTATACACCTACTTTTTTTTTTTTTACCAGAGATACCAAAAATGAAATTCCCAATAAGAAAAACAAACAGGATTTCAATCATGAATGGAGCAAAAGCAAAGGATAGCTTTGAAGATGTAACATCAAGTTGATTAAATAGGTTCCTTCTTTTACCCAAAGTTTTTCTTTGAAGATGTTTCTCTTCTCATCTAAGAAGCTTCTTTAGCTCTGACTGAATGGTGGGGAATGGAAGGATTTATATTCCTTGCAGACAGCTGGTCATTTTGCATTCTTTTAGAGAGTCATTGAGGCCATTTGAAGGTTTTTCTGGGTCCTGAGTCACCTGAATACTGCAAATGTGTGTGGAGCCTTTTTGGCTGCAGGATGTTTTCTGCCCTGTGTCCCTTCACTGGTGAAGACAGGCGCAGACTATTAGGGGTGAGTTTGTGTTGTCTGCATCTCAAATTGAAGCACAAATGACTCCTGTAGTCTGCAATGTTTTCTGGAAATCCGTTCATACTCCTGCACCATTTGAAGGGTGTTCATCCCAAAGTGCATAGCTAAATGTCTATGGAGATTCTCAGTCATATAGGTCATGGTTGTCCTAAAGAAAAACAAAGTCCCGTTGCCTCCTTTGGGATAACCATGACCTGGATGATTGAGAATCTCCATAGACATTTCTTGTTTTACATTACCATTATTAACTGTATTATATTATATTAATCTAAGCTGGTCCTGCATCAATTTGTGAACACATAGTAAATCGAACTTTCTCAAAAAATGCTTCCGGGTTGTTTTGAGGGCTGGGGGAACTTCTGATCTAGTGGCACCAGCTGCCCTACTAAGACTTTCTGGAACGATAACTGCGATCGCTAAGTTTTATGATACCTTCCGTCCTCCCTTCCGCTTTCTTACCAATAGCAGCTTGTATAAACGCAAACGGAGCGAGAAGGGACGACCGGTTGGTAGCCAGCCTGAGCAGCCTCCACCTCCGCCATTGAAGCCCGCTGTTGGCTGGCCAAGGGAAAGGATTAAGGGATTCATTTCCCGAAGAAAGCCTGAACAAGAAGCCGCTCGTCTTCGGCAACGGAGGGCGGTTGAAGAAGCATAGCTCCACGCGTGCTGTTCCGAACGTCCTGGGGGGACGCGTTACAAGGAACGCCTTCCCCCGGAAACGCGGCTGCCTTGGAAGGCTGCTCGACCCAACCAAAGGGAAACCCAGCCAAAAGGAGACGAAGAGGTTAAGCAAGATTGTCGCAACACCGGTGTGTGTGTGTTGTGCGCTTAGAATACGAGTCTCTGCAGTTCGCACCTAAATGCGACGCCGAATTTTTTATTAGCGCAAATGAACACCCAAAATACTTTATAGCTTTCGAGTTAGTGTCAGTTGTGGAGCTTGGTCTCTCCTTCCCCTTCTCACCCGTTTTACCGCAACATTGCTTTAAGTGCTCACTACACTTCAGGTAAAGACAGGCCTGTTTACATCGTTATGTCTCTCCAGTCGTGTCCGTGCTAAAGTTATAAGAATAAATATCAGACCTCTAAATCCATTTCCTTCTAAGTGTATTGGGACTACAATTTCCAATCAATGGTCTTTGGCTATTGGGAAAGTCTGGAAGTTGTCTCTCGGATAAATAAAGGGCGCTAAGTCGGAGACGTTTATTTTACACTTGCCTAGGAGTAAAGCCTCAAATACTCCTGAATAGCATGTCGTGGACAGTCGAGAAAACAAACCAATGGATCGTTGAACAATTCAACCAAAGTTCTCCCCGGAGGCACAAATGACCAGGCTCCAATTATCTATCTTGGGTTACATTGTGCGAAGATCCTGCGCTCTGGAAACGGCTCTAGCGCTGGGAAAGATAGAAAAGCTTTTTCATGCTTGCCAACTTTTACCTGTTACAGATTTTATTATAATTGATTGTTAGCAGTCCACGGTTGTTTAAAGATGGACGACATAATTTAATTCATCATCACCTTGGAAAACCAAATGGAAGAGAAAGAGGTTTTAATTTTCAGGGGGACATAAAAACAAATGTGTAAAATACAACCCAACAAATACAACCCAAACAAATATTTGCTGTTGTTACTATTAGTGCATCATGTAAATAAGCCACGTAGTTCCACCTTTCAAGTACTTCTGCAGGGCGTTGCTTCTGCGCCTTTAACAGCAGCTGGGTACTAGAAGTCAAACAGGTGAAGCCTTTCCCGGCAGGAAGGTAAAGGGATTAGCAAAGTCCCGCCTGTTGTCTGAAAGAAAATGAGTCTCTTTGTCGGGTTGTAGAGAAGAGTCAGCTTTCTGATCGGATTAAGAAAAATCTTTCATTTGGGAATCAACGTTCCTGAGTCCGCCAAAGCCTCTTCAGTAAGGAAACATTTTCATTTTTAACTGCTGTGGGAGGACTGCTTGGTTAGGGAATAAAATTAAGGGAATACCGCTTTGCTTAAAGGGACACATGTCAGGGCCTACTCCGCGTTAGTACCCTGCTTCCATACGTTGTGCGAGACCCTGGATGCAAGCTCTGCTTGGCTCCGTGGGAGCTATAAGGAGGCGTAGTAATCTCAGCGATCAAGGGATCTCATGGTGGGGCTATAAAGCTGTTGCAGATTTGGGGGGGGGAAGCTGGTTTCTTTTTGAACATAAAAATTAACTCTGATCGGCCACCTTAGTGCAATTCAGTGCTGTGTGCCATTCCGATGTGTTGCCAAGGCGCAAAATTATTTTGACTTTTCGCAGGCCAATAGGGAAGGAACGGACTGTGAAAAGAAAAAGGCCTCCTTTATACAAAAGAGTTGATCCGCCAGCTGATTACATTCTCGGTACAATTGTTAAAAAAAATGC